GTTATCAGTAGTTGCTACTGATGCTGTGGTCTTAGGTTTTTTAGTGTCCTTTTCGAGGCTTGTTGTCCAATAGGCACCTTCCCAATATTGAATATGACAGCTTTAGAGACGAAGTAAGCCCTACCTTTATTCTTGCCAAAGATTTCTGGTCGATACCTATTACAAATAAAGTTCCCTCAAGTTCTTCTTCCTGTAAAAGACGTCCCACTTTTCCACGGCCAGCTCAGCAGTTTGACCACCAAGAATTTCCAGTATATGGACGTTCATTAGCCAGCTTACTGTCCCATTCTTTTATGTAGACAGTGGAAGCTCGCTCTTCTTTTTCAGTTCCAGCTTAGCGCCGTCATAGGGAGGAGGAATACTTTCCACTAAGTTCTTTAGGGTGCTAACACATTGGTGAGATGCCAACCTCATCAACATCACGCCCATACTCTATTGGAATTTTTCCTCGGATTACCTGCATCGTAAACTGCATAGCAGAGATCGTTCCGGTGTCTTCTTCTGGCAACTTTGGCGTAAGATGGCGGCTCTTTTCCTTTTCCACTGTCTAGCCTCTCCTTCTTCGCTTTTCGGGGCTTCTTTTGAGATACCCGTACCTTCGAGGCTGATTTCGCAGACGTGGTAGTCTTCGGAATATTTATCTTGGCGTTGTCACCCTTACTCGCAGGATTCTGACTTGAGGTTCCTTTGAGTGAAGTATTGCTTGGCTTGGACTGTGTATTAGAAGACGGGGAGCTCTTTTTCTTCTCAGTTGTCAACTCCTCGGAAGACCTGATCCCCTTTGCCTCTGATATTGTTAGTGAGTCCGATTTTTCCTTTGGAGTGTCGTTGGATTGACTAACTATGATTTCCTGAAGCATATTTTTCAACTTCCTCCTCTGTGATCCAGTTAGTCTTTTCTTAGTAATAGGTAGTTTTGCTATGCTATCACTCACCTGTTTCACCATTTGCTCTACTTCATCCCTTTTGGGATTTGTTATTATCATCTGAGTTTTCTGAGTCGGAGTCCTAATCTTGCAATTAATGTTACTTGTGGTTAATTAAAAATGGCAATGCTATGAACATGGCTTCAACTTTAACTCATTTCTTTCGTTAACTAGATTTTAAATATTTATATTATATAAAGGATTGATTTTTAGGCAATTCAAACATGCCTACATTCTTCTTCAAATTTGAAACATATGTAGTTAGGTGCGTACATTCAAAACTTGGACTAGAAGGGGACAAATACGGATGAAAAGCAAGCAAAATTAGTTTTGAGCGTAAATACTGATTATTGTATATACTTAAAAATAAAAATTTCAATTAAGCATTTTAAAGAGTCAGAAATATACATATGTATATTAGCAAAGTCACGTTGCAGACAAAATTAGACTTGTGTGCTTTATTTTTTTTCTGTTCCAAGGACAAAATATCTTATACTATGACCTTTATTGTCTCGTAAAAATGTATATTTCGAAAGGGAAATGAAAAAATCAAATCAAAGGATAGTAGTTTTGGTACTTTTGTGGTACCTTTTGTATATATTGTTCTAATTGAATCAAATTTAATTTGTAGCTTTATAAGATAACTAGCATACCCTGTGTGCTTCGCTACCCTAACCAAAGTTAAATACAGTTTTTTACGTTCAATATCACGTGAATAAATTCGCATTCAGTAAGAAGCTTGTATCTTTAGTTTCATTCGTTTAGCTTCCACATTATAGAAAATTTCGAAAGTACAATTTGAAAAAAAGTACTATAATATACCTCTTATATATTATCATTTAATCAAAAATTTTATGTTTCTGTGTTCAATATTATATACAATTCCAAAAATATAATTTGATTAATGAAAAAGTACCAAAAGTCCCTTTCCGTAGAAAAGTATCAACGAGTTCCCACTTACAGAATATTACTAGTCAAGACCATGTATGTTAAAATTTATGTTCCTAGGTTGTATATTTTAGGAAATTAAAAACAACCATTTATGAGATAAAAAGTACTAAAAAGTTCCCTCTTAAAGAATCTTATTCAATGAGGACCCTGTATGTTTAATAATCATGTGTTTTGAATTCATATTATAGAACATACAACGAGTATCATTTGAAGAAAGAAAAAGTACCAAAAGTGGAATAAATTCTACCTTAGTGTACTTATAAAAATAGTAAAGTTTTTCCCCTTTTCGCTTAGAAATATACTTTTTGAGAAAAAACTCAAACGATTCAAATATGCATTCATTTGTTCCAGAAAAATTGTGCTTTCAAAAAGTACCAAACAATTTACTCGAATTTGGTCCTATATAGGCCTTAGTACTCGAATTCCAAAATAATATATCAATAGCTTTTTTAGTGTGAGTAAATAAACTACTTTTTGAATAACATTAAATTTCCCGTTTTCCCCCCTTTAGGCATTTTTTCCCCAGTGAAATAGCAAAGATTTTGTTTCAACAAATATTACAGAGTTAGTCCGTAATATAATAGGAATACTTCAATAAATCGAAAAAGTTTTCTTAATGTGCTAAAAAAAAAAGTACCAAAAATACAGTTTTATCTCTTTTACACCCAAAAAGGGCTGAATTTTAAAAAAGTACGAAACAGGTGTCTCCTACTTTTGGGAGATATATTCAAAATATTTACAAAAATTTAATTTTGTTTATTAGTTAAAACGTTATAAAGGGCCAAAAAGTACCTAAATCAACTTTGTTACACATTTTCACCCCTTAAAAGTACGAATTTCAAAAAAGTACCAGACACCCATCTGCTTATTTTAAGAGTAGATACAGGTGCATTTAAAATTTTTCTTGTATCACTAATATTAGGTAAGATAATTAAGAAAACCTGTTTTACCCGTTTTCCCCTTTTTTACCCCTAAATGTAAAAATTTCCAAAAATCCCTTAGTGGATCTAAATAATCAAAAACACATCTACTGTCAAAATTTTATGATTCTAGGTTCAGTCGTTTGGGCTGTGCGATGATGAATGAGTCAGTCAGTAACGCAACTCTTTTATATATATAGAAGACAAGAAAAACATTTGATACAAAATTTCTTCATAAGGAGATCTTCAGAGGAAAATAAAGGGGAAACATCCATATTTTTTATTTCTCTTATTTTTTTGTTGGTCTATTTATTTGTGTGTCAAACACGCTTAAAAGCTTGGTACCCCGTTCACGCTCAAAATCATCATTCAACCCCAATTAAATTCTGAATGACATGATTGGCCATACAAATTTTCAGCTGCGAATTACACAAGCTGTACGTAATTCAGTTTGAATTACGTACGAATTGCGAATGAATGAGTGTCATCTTTAATTTTTATTGGGTATTTATCATAATCAGCTGTTTGTTTTCATCAGTTAGAAAATATATAACTTACAGCTAAATTACAATTGGAACCGCTGTGGACAAACCAAAAAAAAAAAAGATCGAGCGACGAATTAAAATTAGGCTACTGTCGACAGACCACATTTTTGACTTTTATTAGAAAAAATCAAAGCAAAATTAGAATTAGATTTTAAGAAATATAAAAAAAATGGTTAAAAAATGATTAGAATGAAATAAAAGAAACAAAAGGATGTGTTTTCGTATTTTAATTTTTATTATTTTCATTTAATATCTTCAGTTAATAATAGGTCTGTTCGCGTACTCGATAATTTGTAACAATTTGCAACAATTGTTACTGGATTCCGTTCGCGTACTTTTGAAAACTTGCAACGAGAGAGTAAGAGAGCGATAAAAATGACAGTTCGTTGGTAGAGAATTTTTTGATTTTACTGGAAAATTTTTTCCCAGTAAAAAATATCCAACATATGTTCACAACATATGGTTGAAATATGAACACGTAAAAAAACCAAAGACAACGAAAATTTGGTAAATTTTAATTTTTTTGAAAGAAGTATTTAAATAAATAACACACGAATATTACAAAATTATTTGTAATTAGATTTATTATAATTTTATTTATCATAAATTAGTTTTTAAAAGAGTTTGTTTGTTGTGAAAAATCATAACAAATATTGTCAATCTAGTGTTTTTAAAACCACTTAGTTTGTCTTTCTCTTAGCGATTTTGTGTAAAATTTTATTTTACTAATATGTTTGTAACATGAAGTTTTAAAACAATAATATATTTGTAATGATATTACATGTTTTCATTCATTTATAAGAAAAATCATAGTTTCAGTTGTTTGTCTTTTTTTGTGTTTTGTTAGCGATTGAGATTTCAGCAAAAGGGCATTACTAATCTTTGTTTATAAAAAAAACTTGCATTTTTTTTCGCAAATTTGCGTTCGAGTACTTTTTTGGATATTTTTTTGATTGATACTAAATTAAAAATTACTCTCTATCATAAAGTTACTGGATATTTTTTACTGGAAAGTACGCGAACAGACCTAATAACACATGGCAAAAAATGCACATTATAACAACCCTGTTTTTGCAGTTTCGCAAGATTTTTAGCAAAATGTTATGAACATATGACAACGCTACAACATGAAAATAAGATAAATAAGATAAACGTGAGAGGATCGCCAGAGGGCGCAATAAAAATAAAACAGAATCTATCTCAACCACAATATCGCCAACCGGAAGACAATATTATGCTCTCCATACAAAATGTATGAAAACTCATTGTCGACAGCGGTTGTGGTTCCAATTGTAATTAAGCTGTTAATTTGTAAAAATAATGTAACAAACGTATTTTTGTATCATACACAGACACTAATATTCCAAAAAATAACAAAATAATGAATGAAAAAAAAAAAACAATGAATTGTCAAAACGAATTACGAATGTGTCGTAGAAACGTGTTAATTGGCTATCATCATTCAGAGGCTGAATTAAGTAATTTAACTGCTCGTATGAACTTGGTATAACTATAATTTTATGAAATCACTTAAACCCCTTGGCAACGCCCGGAGTTAAGTTGAGAAAATCCAAAAAATTAACTTGGTATAACTATAATTTCATGAAACTACTTAAGTTGAGAAAATCAAAAAAATTTCTAAATTTATATTTACTTACTAAAAGCGTTTGATGTTTATCCCATGATCTGTCTGGTTCAGGTGTTTTAGATTCATAAATACATTGAAATAGAAGAGCTGTATCGTGTAATATTGCCATTGCGTCTTTATGGCAAGAATATATTTCATTAGCTTTGGGTGGCACTTTGGATCTAATGTCGCTTCTTTTGTTAATGTTTAACGAGCAAAGGTTAACATTTCTTATATCTATAAAATATGTATCTCTACTTATACTTTCAGGACAATTCTCCGAATTCTCCTGTGTGTTACATATAGTTATTTTGCCCAAGTTAGCAACCAAAACCTCTGCACTTTTACATGATCGCGGCAAAACTAATACTGGTGTACTAAGTATAATATCAAGCCTGAAAAAAAAACATTTTAAATTTGTTTAAATATAGTTATTAAAACTTTAAAATGTAAATATTTAAATGTGCACCTAATTAAGCGATTAGGAATATTGTATTATTGTTCTTTTTTCAATTATTTTTGTCATGTAAAATAATAATGTATAAATTCAAAGTAAACCAAAGTTCAGATCTGTAAAACACAGTAATATTTTTCCAAAGTCCGATATTAAATAAATTCCTTTTTGCACGTTTTGGCATACTTTCTACCAATTTTTCATTACTTTATTTGGAATACTCTCCCACTCGCGCTAAACCCGCAGCCAAAGATCACCTAATTGTTTGGGATTAATCGGTATTGACCCAACCGTCACTTCATGTTTTACCTCAAAACATCAATGTTAATACCGATTAAATACCGTTTAAAATTGTATACTGGTATTGATACCGATACCGAAATAAATTTTTCGGTATAAATACCGCTGTTCAAATACTGTTTACCTTTACACTGGTACAGTACCGTTATCATAAGGTATCTTTACCGCTTCAATACCGATATCTTGCCTCTATTTGCATTAAAGTTAACATTATTAGGGGGACGGAAATAACGATTTATGTTGATAGTCAGACAGCTTAATCATAATCCCCAAATGAATGGCACTTTTCGGAAATTCAGAAGGTGCACTCATAAATTCATTATTTCTGGTAAATTTCGGTATTAATAATTTCAATTACTTTTCCAAATTTTGTGGGAATAGTTTTATTGTAGGACCCTACAGACCTTGTTATAATGATTTGATGATGGTACTACAAGACTCGGTACTACGTTTTTCACGTGTTCTTTGTATAGCCATCCCAGTATAAGCGCTCTTGCATGATTTTCAGTTGTGCTTTGGGTAGACTTCCTGCTAAATTGGAGTTTTTATCTACATAACCAGGATGATGAGTCTACAAAGTTGGGATGATAAGCGGGTTCAACGCGAGTTGAAGAGTTTCCAACATAAAACTTTGGAAAAAATATTAAAAATGCTACCATTCCCTAAAGATTTCGTGGCATGTAAAAATTTGATACTAGCTACTCTGTGTGTTTTTTATTTAATACAAATAAATAAATAAAAAACTTTACGATTTTTTATATTTATTTTTTTGGGAAAACCCGCTCCCATTTTTATAATCGGCAAGTGATTCACATGTATGTATATGCACATTAGGATACCCTAGTGGACCTCTTTTTTGGAGGAATACCTCTAAAGCGATGCGTTTTAATTTACTAAATACGAGAAAAATAAAAAACTATTTTTCGAAAAGGGGTTCAGTTCCCTTCTTGCGATTGAAAATCTTGATCTCAGTACAATATGTTCAAAAAAATTTTTGCAATCTTTTCGAATTGGGAGTCAAAAATTCCATAATTTAGAGCGTATCGTGGGAAAACAATTAAAATTTTTATTAGTGTATTTCTGGTCCGCAAAAAGACTTTTATTGTATTATAAGGGGCATATAAATTAAAAAAAAAAAAATTCTAAAAAATTCTGAAATGAACTAAACCAAATGCCAAACTATTTTTTAAATATTTCTTGTATGAGCTAAAAATTGCGCCAATTTTGACACCCATTTCGATAAAAAGCGTGGACCAAAAATACCCTAAAAAAATATTAAATTATTTTTCCTATTATTTCCTCAAAATGATTTTTATTGTATTATAATTAGCATATAAATTTTAAAAAATTCTAAAAAAAATTATGAAATGGACTAAATTAAATCCCAAACTATTTTTTAAATATGTTTCTGTATGAGCTAAAAATTACGACAATTTTGACACCCAATTCGGTAAAAAGCGAAAACAATATGCCTCTCCAATCCACTAAAATTATTTTGTGGTCCAAAAATATTCTACAAAAATTTTCAAATTATTTTTCCCGTAATTACGGAATTTTTGAGACCCATTTCGAAAAAAAAAATGCAAAATATTTTATTTTTAAAAAATTATACTGAGGTCAGGATTTTCAATCGCTGGCAGAGAACTGAGGACCATTCCAAAAAAAATATTTTTTATTTTTCTCGTGTTCAGCACATTAATACGCATCGATTGAGTGGTATTCTTACATAAAATTCTTAAAAAGGCTGTTCCTCAGGACACTCTAATGTACATATGTATAATGGAAGTATTTGTACAATATTTTAAAACAATCATAATTTATTTTCGGAATAATGAGTTACCATGTCCGCTAAAATTACGACAAATCGAGTGTCATATTAATTACTAAATTCGTCAATACAATTAATTTTGTAATTAAAAAGGCAATAACAACTGATTTTGTAAATACAAAAAATATTAATGTTACTTAAACACTTAACAAATAATTCCAACAATGAATTTGTCAGATTGAATAAAAAATTTTTTAACAATCAACAGTTATGTTATAGCAAAATGTTAAAAAATTTTGACACGCATCAATTAAAAATCTATACATTATTTACTTTTCAATGTCGAAATAAAGAGGACATAGACGCCAAAGTAGAAATTCTCACAAGTGCCTTGGTTGAATCGTTCGAGGACAGCTGCCCTCTGCGAGAGCATAGATCTGCCCAGGAGAAACCCTGGGTAACCGGGCAGATCCGGAACCTTGGTAAGACTCTTCGCAAACTATTTAACCGGGCACGGCGTAAAAATACCGCATTCTACTGGGATGCGTATCATAGTAAACTTGGTGAATATAAGAAAATTGTTCGTAAAGCCAAACGAGACTCCTGGAAACTTCTCTGTGAACAGGTAGACATATCGAAGATAAGAAAATTTCTATCCAAAACTCATGTCCAACCGGAATCTATGGTCGAGGACACGGGCAGGAGGCTGGAGGAGACAATGAAACTCCTAACGGACTCTCATTTCCCACCCGGTGTATCGAATAATATAGACGAACCGATATGGGAGGAAGGGGAGGCTACTACGGAAATTGTAATTACATCTGATATGGTTAAAGGGGCAATCAAGAGCTTCGATCCCTATAAAGCTTCAAATGCCACCCGGCCTTTTCCCAGTACTCTTACAGATGGAGGCGGGACTGGTTTCCGTACATCTGTCTCAGATATTCACTGCATGCTTGAAATTCACATATACCCCCATTAAATGGCAGGATGCAAGGGTAATATTTATACCTAAACCAGGGAAACCTAGCTATGCGACACCTAAGTCTTACCGACCTATAAGTCTTACGTCCTTCCTACTTAAAACCTTGGAACGGATAGTCGATAGTATGGTTAAAAGCAGTATACACGACAAAGAAATAAAATTTAAGCAGCATGCTTATGTAAAGGGACGATTAGTGGAAATCGCTTTAAGCGAAGTTGTTCACTACATAGGTGAATCCTTCGATAGCAAACTATATACACTGGCGGTATGAATTGACATCGAAGGCGCTTTCAATAACGTGCACACTAATACTCCTATACAATTCCTAGACTAGTGTAATGTTAACCGGGTGCTCCATAACTGGATCAACTACATGCTAAGCAAAGCTTGGAAAATATGAATTCTGTTTGGAATTAATTCCCTTATATTTTTAATTCCTTGGCTTCATATTCCATTGAATTAATTCCTAAGAGAATTCATTCTTTATAGGATTGAATTCAATTGAATGAACATTCATATTTGTTTAATTCCTTCTATTACAAATTGAATGAAAGAAAAAATGTAATTAAATTTTTAATATACAGAATGCTTTTGAATTATAAAACAACACTTTCATTCAATCTATTTGAAATTTGAAAATTTTTTAAATTCAATTTGTAATAGATTGAATTCAAACAAAATTTATATCATTCAGAGGGAATTTAAAAATCAATAGGAATTGTTGAAATTTGTTTTAATTCAATTTGTAACAGATTGAATGCAAACAAAATTAATTCATTCAGAAGGAATTTAACAGTCTATAGAAATTAATTCATTAGAGAATTAATTCAACTACATCGAAAGCTTTAAGAATTAATTCTAGGAATTAAATCAAAAGGATGAGTTTGAAGAACTGTTAATTCTTTAAAATATAACTCAATTTAAAAAAAAAAAAAAGAATTAGGGAATGAATTCTTTTAGAGCTTTGATGCTAAGGAACAGATGGATAAACTGCGAGATGTACGATATTACTATTAGGAAAAAGGTATTTCGCGGTATATCACAGGGTGGCATTTTGTCACCTTAACTCTGGGTTTCCACGATTAATAGCCTCCTAAGGACCCTAAATGAGAAAGCACTTAGACCTGTCTGATATGCAGACGATGTCGTAATACTTTTAAAGAGAAAGGATTCAAATTACTTGTGTAGAAACGTTGCTAGATATTCCACCCATTGAAACATATTTAAGATATGAGGCGGCGCTTACAGCCGAACGTCTCTTTACTTTAGGCGAAAACTAGAGCAAATACCAGTAGGAATCCGTTGTTATACGGATCTATATTGAAGACCCAGAAACAGAAATATACTACCGTTTACCTAATCATAACACAATATTCCAGCAGAAGTCCGAGCAATAACGGAATGTTTAAATTGGATTAGAATAAATATGGCACCCATGGATTTAATATATTCACCGACAACCAGAAGGTAATTAGGGCAATATCAAGCGATAGAATTAAATCTAAGACCGTATTGGATTGTAAGAAAGCTTTAACTGAATGCTCTCCCAGAGGTAAGGTTTACATCATATGTGTATCAGGCCACTCGGGAGTAGTCGGCAACGAAAGGGCGTATGTAATAGCTTTAAAGGTAAGGGAGCTCGAGGTAGTTAACCTGACGAACGCAAAACCAGTCGACGCAACAAAAGCTGAATTTAAAATATAGGTGAGAGAATCCCATAAGGCCTCTTGGAATAATGACACGGTGGGTACAATCACAAAGATCGTATGGGGTGATCTGATGACCTGATGAGAACAAGACGAGAAATCTCATCAAAATGAGCAAGTCTGATGTTAGTATGATGGTACGTATTCTGAGTGGACACACAGGATTACGAGCACATCTATAC